CACGAACCGCACATGGATCCTTACATGGTGAGATGTGGGGCGCACTGCACGAACCGCACATGGATCCTTACATGGTGAGATGTGGAATTTGGAATGCTGACTGTCCTCGGCCCATGGTCAGATACGGCGTTCACAGGTGACCTCTGACAAACAGCTAATACACCATCACACTATTACGCAGTCAGGGTCACGCCAAGGTGCGGGGCGAACACGAGCAGTGCGTCCGTAGTAGGAGGTGAACATCCACGGTTTGGAGTCACCTGTTAGCCTGACCTTTGACCTTTGGGGGGGGGCAGGCACTGAAGTTCCTCACAAACTCCACATTTGGACCCAGAGAGTGACTGAGAGCCCCAGGCTTCCATGAGACAGACCTCTTGCAGTGTGCTTATAACAAGAGACCCACAAAGGCATTTTATAGGGTTTCAATTCAAAACTACACATTATTACAGCAAAACCATCTAAAGTACTGGCAGGAATCAAGGTGTATTTTTATCAAGTGATTAAACAGGTTTCAGGTGCAATATTTGCCCACTTGGCTTTAAGAAATGTGAGGTGCTACACCTGTCCTGCCGTGTGGCCTGAATGTTAACACCTAAGAGACAAGTAGGCCACGCCTCTTCCAGCATGCCCCAGGCTCTGTGCCCTTCCCAGCATGCCCCAGGCTCGGTGCCTTCCCAGCATGGCCCAGGCTCTGTGCCCTTCCCAGCATGCTCCGGGCTCGGTGCCTTCCCAGCATGCCCTAGGCTCTGCACCCTTCCCAGCATACTCCAGGCTCTGTGCCCTTCCCAGCATGCCCCAGGCTCGGTGCCTTCCCAGCATGCCCCAGGCTCAGTGCCTTCCCAGCATGCCCCAGGCTCTGTGCCCTCCATACTTGACTTTAAGAATGGGCCATTCCCACTGATCAGCTAATGTAGGGGTCCGTAGTGATGAGAGATCAGCATAGACCTTTGGAAGAGACCACTATCCTTTTCTTTTAAACACTCAACCGGGGTGAAGACTGCCTTAACACAGCCACCAGCCCCCCTACCCCGGCAGGTAACTGATGAAGCTCCTACTGCAAGAAGGTTCCCGCACCCACTGTAAGGTCATGTAGTCTTTGCTCACAAACCAGTATAACCCTTACACCTATCAATGAATGGTTTGTCCAGCATAGTATAAGCTTACTGAAGGTTACAAAATTCACAGCAGCGTCACAAAATTTCCATCTGCACAACAGACCAGATGTATCTTCATCTAGTCTCAATACAAATCCTGCAGCTGTAGGTATGTCTCAAAGTCACACGTCGAATGGCACACGTGCTGGGTAAGAGCCCTACGGCAGAGCGTGTCCTGTAGGCTGGGGGAAGAGCCCTGCGGCAGAGCGTGTCCTGCAGGCCAAAAGCAGGGCTTTGCTTGTGTCTCGGTTGTTTATACGGGACTCTAAGCTGAAGGAGATCCCTGGGATATCATGGCGAGGTGTCATGCGGTGTCCTGTTACATTTCTCATGAGTAAGGGTCTAATTTGAAGTGCTGAGCTGGCCGAGCAGAGCAACGCTGTTACCGCGGCACCAGCATCTGTCAGTGTTTGTTGGAAACTCGGCTTGTTAAAATAACCCAACAAAACCATCAATGGCTGATTATTAAACTGAGTTCCACGGGTAACCAAAACTCACCCAAACACAGGAGTTCTGGCTCATGTCCTGTAATCAGTAAGACCAATCGGCAGCTTTCAAATATATATTAAAGTGGCCTTAAATCTGAAAGTTTATGGTATTATTTGGTATTGTGAATATGTTGCTACCCGCTCAACCCTGTAGTTTAACTACAAAGTTGTTCTCAAAATAATAAATGTAAGTGTGAGTCTCATAATGTGTATAATTTTCATTTGTACATTCTTGTAAATTGTCTTGAAATCTTCTTGCATGTTATATGTCATACCAGGGCACAGTCACCTGACCAGTAGAGATCTTTCTGATTCTGATTTAATGTTTTTTTTTTCCCCCCAAATGTCTCTGTCTCATGAATGCAGTGTGACAGTGTCGTCTGCCAGCCGTCCTGCCAGCCCAGGGCTCACTTTGGGCTCTCAGTAACGTGAGAGATTCTTCCACACAATCATTTAGGATCAAAGCAGCATTAATCCCACATCCAAGAGCATCTTCTGCATATAAAACAGCCTGTACATATTCCAGCATGAGGCTGACAAAACTTTAAGTAAAATCAGCATTAAAATAAATCGAGTCGACATACCTTACCCTACAAAATCTGTAAGAGAGGCTGATCTTGCTGAAATCTGTATGAGTTCAGAAAAATCTTCTGAGGTGAACCTTTCTTGAAGCTGCCAGAGGTCCAGGTCCTGCTTACGGGGCCGACTAGTGCGTCCAGCTTACTGAAGTGGCCTGCATTGTTGGGTGGGGGCTGGGGGGCCACTCAGTCGTCCATCTCTCAGTGTGACCTTTGCGGTTCACTACTGTGCCTGTCTGTTAAGTGCAGCGACGTAAGCGCGCGGCTCTTGCATACCTCAGCTCACAATCAGCCTTCTCCGTTTTAGCGCTGATTTCAGAAATCAGGGCCACGGGCCCAAATGGGAGGCGTCCAGCGATGGCCAGAGGCAGTTTTGCACAGGCGAGGCCTGACATCAGAAAGATCCGATGTTCCTGACATAACACTCTGAATGCCAGCTTTGCCTGTTGCACACACACTCACACACAGCTACAGCTGTCCCTGCGTATCGCCTGTCAGCTGCCTCATTCCTCATTCCTAAGCCACCCCCCCTCCCCCCCGCGTTTTGGTGCTTGGTACGACCCACCCACCCTGATGCTGTAACTTCTTTCTGCGCTGATATTTTGTATAAAAATACTATCAAATACTAACAAATTCCATGAAGTGACAAGTCAGTGATTCACACACAAACCACATTCTATGATGATGAGGAATTATAAGCTTTAACGTCACATCAGTTTTACCATTATAAGATTTTTGTTGACGTTATTTTAAAAGCACCCTGCACAGAAAGTCTGCACAAAATCAAAACATGTTGGTGGACATTTTACCGTGAATAGAGCGCCAGGCTCTTTGCTGTGATGGTCAGCTGGATTCCTAAATGATGCATTATAACAGCAATATATATTTTTTCACGTTCTCTAAATGAATCATCTCTTATTTACATCATATTATAAACTCATGCCAAAGTTCTACACTGAAACAAAGGCACTGTACATGACAAACCAAAAGTAAGAGAATCGCTCCCACAGTATAGCAGCAACACAATCACCTACACACCCAGCAAAAATTATCCTTAATTTAATGACGCTTCCTCACACAAAAGCACCTGGGGGATTTGAAAAGCAGGTGAGATGTTCCTTGGAAGAACACAAAAGGTTGTAATGTCCCACTGCACAGCAAGACCGGAAACATAACGGGTTAGTGCTGCTTTGGTAATGTCAATCAGTGGTCAGGTGGTCAGGACCAAAGCCTTAACCAAGCAGATCAGAAACACTAGAAAGCCTTATACATTCTAAAGGATGGGCTCACAGTCTGAGCTGAACCAGAAGACAACGGTCTTTAAAGAGCCACTACATGGGAAAGTGTGAAGTGTAAAATGTGTAGGTTTAGGGTTAGGCTTTGGGTTAGGCTTAGGGTTAGACTTAGGGTTAGGGTTAGGCTTAGTGGACGTTCATTTTGGTCAAGTCTAGGAACGATGAAAGTATCTCCAAAACGTTCATACAGCCAGTAACATCACAACAGAAAACTACACTCTTCATCTGTTCCACCTGCATATACTGAGTATACTCTTTCATTTGATATGTTATAAACACCTTTCAAGAAGCTTGCCAGAGTGAAATGACTCTGGCGCTATGATACGCAGCATCAAATGTGTGCTAATCCATCTGCAGCGTATGCAAAGAATGCCATTAATGAAGAACAAATCCTCTTTATTAGAGTGTAAAATTAGTGTAACTGGCTGACTTGGGCAGAGACTTATCTTGTTACTATAGATCAAGCATGTCAGTATGGACCTCACCTTCCTGTTCTTGTATATATCCAAGAGCCTTCTCTCACCAAGCACAGGGCCCAGTTACTCTGCTTCTCTCACCAAGCACAGACCCAGTTACTCTGCTTCTCTCACCAAGCACAGGCCCAGGTACTCTGCTTCTCTCACCAAGCACAGGCCCAGGTACTCTGCTTCTCTCACCAAGCACAGGCCCAGGTACTCTGCTTCTCTCACCAAGCACAGGGCCCAGGTACTCTGCTTCTCTCAACAAGCACAGACCCAAGTACTCTGCTTCTCTCAACAAACACAGGACCCAGGTACTCTGCTTCTCTCACCAAGCACAGGGCCCAGGTACTCTGCTTCTCTCACCAAGCACAGGTCCAAGTACTCTGCTTCTCTCACCAAGCACAGACCCAGCTACTAATCTGTGACTTAAAATTCTGACTCAGAACAGAATTCTGATAGCATTTCTTTTCTACTAATTCAAGCCTGTCAGAAATTTAACCCACTGAAAGCCGGATAGGGGATAGGCAGCCCCGATCCGGGATTGCCGGGATCCAGCAGGTTTTCCATCCTACCTGGTCTCTGATGAACCACGGCTAATCTCAGCCAGATAGAAACTCATCAGGTAGGATAGAAAGCCTGCTGGATTCCAGCCCTCCAGGATCAGGGTTTTCTACCTCAGCGTGACACCCTGAAAACAAAAATGGTGTCCGGTGCCTTGCCTGACTTCGGGGGTCGGACATCCCCTCACGATGCAGTCCAGTTGCACTTTGCTGCCCTCAGGAACCTCCCTGCTCTTCAGCTTCTGCAGGAACTGAGGTGGGTCCATGATAGACTCCTCAGTCTTCTGCGGCAGCGATGGCACAGACATACTTGCATTGCTCTTTGGTAGTCCAGCATCACACTGATCTTGCTGAGTGTCATGTTGACTAAGACTCACTGCTGCCACCTCCAGGGGAGACACCTGTACAGCTGGCTGGCCGGCGTAAGTGGACACAGGTCTCTCCCTGTCTTCCGCAGTGAAAGCGAAGGCCACCTCGTCTGGCTGGGCCTTAGTCTGGTACCTGCTCCGATGCGCCTTGCAAGCCCTCGGCCTGATCCTCTTGGAGCTATTAGCCTTAAAAAGCGATGACAATTCTTCTATGAAGTCAGCTGCCTTATTCAGAAACTCCTTCTTGGACTGAGCTTCCGGTCCATACGGGGTGTTGCGGGCCGGTTTTCGGACATCCTGAATGGGCTCCTTTTGGGTCCTATTATTCCTTATGATGTCATTTTCTCGGGCAGCTGTGTGGAGGACCTGCCTTTCTGGTGGTGCAGTCTCTGATGTTCCCTTCTTCTCAGAGGAAGCTGATACCTTTGAGGAGTTCACCAAAGGCACCTTCTCCTCAGCTCGCTCTTCTTGAGGACTTTGACTGATGGCTTGCTGTGCCAGATTAACACTTTTATCCAATTCTTCTTGACTCAGGAAAGCTGAGAGGTCTGGGAATTGATCCTGCCCCCCCACGTCTTCAGACCTCCCATAGAGGAGGTGCTGAGCTCCATCTGAATGATTCATCTCGCGGTGCCTCTGCTGGACTCTTGACTCTGCCAGGTAGCTCTCTCGACCAAGCCGAGGTGACGAACCGGAAGATTCCAGGCTGTTGTCTTGCATCCTGTAAAAATCGAGAAGGAATTATTCTTGACTAAATTTCACAGAGTAGCAGACCAAGTCACTGAAGAATGTATCTCAAGGCAGATTGTAATGAAAGGATAAGCGGCGCAAAATCCATCCAGTCAAATGCTGATCATTGAACAGATTCAGTAAAACTAGGGATGTGTGTCTCCATTTCTGAGGTGATGCGATACACATCTCCATGCATCGCCAATTATCTATGACGCGATACACATCTCCTTGCATCGCCAATGATCCATGACGCGATACACATCTCCATGCATCGCCAATGATCTGACCCATTAAACATACATATGAAGCAACTACTACTGCGATACAATACAATACAGCCCTATTGCAGGGCAGTACGATTGGATGTGATTCGATGCTCGCCGGACACGCCTCCATCTTGGCTGAGAGACTTGCATAAGATTGGCCATGACAGCATGTGAGAGCTGGAGATGAGAGGGTGCACTTGAGGAACAGTTTAGAGAGGGGGAATCAGTTTCAATATAAAATTTCTAAATAATAAAGGAGTAGGGCTTCTACTAATAATTAAATATTAATATTAATTAAACCCTGGCTGTGTGTTGCCTGATAACTCCGGTCATGCTAATCTGCGTCGTGTTGTGGAATGTTGGTGATGTGACACGGTGTGCTGAGGGAGTCGCTGGTCCAGGTGCCGGCAGTAACCGTGATGACAGTCCCACTTCAGGTGTTCTGACCCGGCGGGGAGCGCATTATGACGGAGAGGTACAGCCTGCAGGTGAATATGACTTAAACAACAAAGTAACACTAAGGACCAGCTTGTAGACCTATATCTTAAAAAAGTTTTTTTTTAAGAATAAAAAAAAAAAGCAAATCAAAAAACAAACAAAGTTGCACTTATTACAGATCCTACCTCACTTTCCCATAAACGAGAGAAGCCGATGCTGGTTCTTCTCCCCTCAGAGACACAAAACACATCTTGCGATTGTGTCACAAATGACATTTTTCAGTGCTGACTTCATAAAACATGGGCAAATACAACAAAATTATAACAAAGGAATATTTGACCATTTTACCGTCTTTTTGCTTAGTTATGCTTATCTGCCCCAAAAGAACTCGCTGCTACTTAACTTTACCAGATCGGGCAGCGCGACTTGTCAGCATAAATAACCAAGGACATAACTTTGGGTTGAGCACTGGGGGGGATTGAGGTCTCCACCCATTTTAGGGGTTCCAGGGAGTTGTATTAGCTGGTTTTCATTATTGGGAGGGGGGTAACAACCCCCCCCCCCCCCCCTTAATTCACTCCTATGTATAAAACATATTACATATAATCAATCAGTCCCTCCATTGAATTCCTCCCAGTTCCGTAGAAGAGAGAAATGGCAAACATTAAAACTGGGTATGACCATTTCAGAAAGTCCATCTTTATATCAAACTCCCGTCTTGTCATGAATATGACAAAGTTTTGTACAAATTGCTAATATCTCCCTGTATAATAACTGACCCTGCCGCCCCACAAATGTTATTTAGCTTGCATTTGCCCCCAATAATATGGCCGATCACCCTGTGCTGGGGTCAGAAGCACCTGTTGATGTGTTTATAATTCGCTGTACTCACCGGGCAGGCCTTGCAATGGGGCGTGCATCGTTAATTCACGCAGATCAGGCCACAGGTGTTACTGACACTCAAATGGCAGTGATCAGGGAAGCCAGGGCACCCCCCCCCATCTGCTGCATGCATTAATCCAGGACGTGCAGCCCACCGGCACTGAAGCCTGGCCTAATTATAGATGGGGTGTCACTTTACATGAAAAAGCAGGGAAATTAGCTGCCCCCTCTCGCTATGGCAAATCCTGCCCCCTACTTCATTTGCCTGCTTCTCTCAAAGTGAATAATTCAGCATTTTGTCCACCACAGCCTCCTTCTTTTCAAGCACGGTGCAGTCTGTGCAAACGCCGCAACAGCCCACAGATCCAGCAGCGTTTGCTGCCTGGCAGCTGAACCGAGACGGAACCGGAACTAAAGGCGAGCGTTTGGTATCAAGTAAGCCTGTGGACAGAAGCACCCAAAAAGCCAGACGGGCAGCCCCCCTGCCGGCACGGCCACGGGGAGGGGGTCAGCTGTGAGCAGGTGCTTTACCTTCAGCTGAGCTCCGAAGCGCCCCTCCGGGGTGGGGGGGGTCACTCCTCCAGGCCTGCCGGGGGACACGGCCGACGGGGAATGGGTTCCGCACCTCTCTTTGCTGTGTTTTTCTCCCTGGCGTTTCCCTTTGCTGAGAACTAACCTTGGAGTTTACAGGAAATATGGCGGCAAGTGGCAGAGGCAACTTGTCACCAGTAAAAGTAGCAACATTTGTCAGCATGTCGCTGGCCGGTTATTTTGGGGGCGGCTGGGACCATGTGCCCAGGGTGCATTCCTCCCCATTGGACGGGAGGGGGCTTCCGTAAAGGGATTCCTACCAGAGCAGCACCTATGGTCATCTTTCAAAGCTCCTCTTTATAGAAGCTGACAGGAGCCGGGGGTAGGTGGCCGGTGTGAGGGGGCGCCCCTAGGGGGCGCACAGCACACTCCCCGTGCGGCTGAAAGGGACAGCTCTAAGCGCACTGCTGTGCTCCCTTACTGCGAGCATCATATTAACATGTGGAGCACATCCGTCTGACACCACACACAGGAGTGTGGCCCTCACAGACCCCCCCAAAGGGGCCCAGGGCCCCAGCCTGACATTCAGCCACTCAAACCACATGTCAGCATGGGGCCCCAAACAACCACTGCACTGAATATTAGATGCATCCCTGCAGCAGTTCAGCCAGCTAGCTGTAATCTCCCCTCTCTGCTTGTTAGCTGTTTATTTAGGCTGTGAAGTAACTTTTTAACAGGGCCTTGAACCCACAAACCCATCCCTGTTGGTACTGCAGCACACGTCCCAGACCCCTGACACTTAGACAACTTTATTAAGGTGCAGACTCACAAAACATGCTTTTGGCTTTCAGAAAATAAAAGTACTCATTTTAATTGCATGTAAAAACCACCATCCTCAGTACAGCAAAATCTGAGACCTTATGTCACTGATGACAAGGAATTTTTATTCAGCGCTCATGAAATAATAATTACAAAAAATTTAATTTAAACAGCATAAATCCTTCTTTGGAGAGAAGGGCCGGCTTTGATCGCTCTGACACTGACATGGGAAACATTAAAATACAGAGCACAGCGCTTGTCCACGAGATCCACACGCAAAAATAATCAGTCAGTAAGTGGTCTGGAAGGAACTTCTCAGGAACGATTATACAATCAAACATGGACATCGTGAAGAATAGCAGAGCGAATCCAAAGCCGGCGGAGGCACTGATATCCATGCAGCACTGGGGGGTTTCAGTCACTCTGGCCTTTACTGAGGAGGGAGGGGCCAATAGCCCCAAAGCTCCGCCATGACAGAGCTGCAGACACGACGGGAGCCGCACCCAGTCCTGCCCCCCCTCAGCTCTGCCAGTTACCTCCATCCATGTCTTGGCCGTTGGCTGACACAGAAATTAAATTAAATTTAATTCACCATTTGTACGAGTTGCAGGAAACCAGAACATGTTTGTTCACATATGACATCCTGCTCTCTCCTTTAAGACACACACACACACACACACACACACACACACACACACGGAGGTGAGAGCAAAGCGTGGAGTCTGAGCACAGGGTCCGCCGTCCATCCAGTGCCCCAGGAGAATTTTTCTGGGGGTTAAGGGCTTTGCTCAAGGGCCCAGTAGAGAAGAGGCTCCTCTGCTTCAATCCGGTGACCTTCTGATCACAGGCAGAGTCGTAACCCGCTGAGCGACACAGTCTGCATGTTAGGGGCGTGCGGACTGACCTTCCGCTATCTGCACCCTCGGGAATTCGGGCACGGGGATGATGAGCCGTCTGGAATAAAAGCAGCAGTCAACAATGATTAACTATTAACCTGCTCACCCATGAAAAATGAAGCCATACTAACAATTACCATAACATGTTATTTTGCTAATTATTTTACGTAAAGCATATGGTTACATCCAAAAAACTTTTACCTACAAAAGGGTGACATTGCCCACATACCCAGGGGGGGGGCAGAGGGGGCGATGGTGCTCTACTCACTGTAGGTGAGGTCCTCTCCTGCTCGCTTGCGTGACTGATCACCCCTACAGGATGAAAGGCATGCAGTGAGTCACAGCAGTTGATGGTGACTTTGACTCCCGTCAGAGGCGCTGTGCTCAGTGATGGGTGCGAGGCCGTCGAGCGCCTACCTGGCAAAGCCGTTCAGGGAGAGCTCCGCCTGCAGTCTGCGGTCCTGAGCCGCGTAGTCGGGCAGCTCGCACTCCTGCGCAGGCGGGTTAATCTGCGGGATGAAGCTGGAGAACAGCAGAGGCGCTAATCTGACCCAGTCTGCACGGGAGACGAAGAGGAGAAACATGCAAGAATTAGTGCAGGTCGGGGTCCGGAGCACAGAGACATCAGAGCAAATGGCACCTACCGGGGCGCAGAGTGTAAAGACCTTTCACTACACTGGCCATCGTCGAGGGCTTGACTTGAAAAGGTGTGGAATGAGCTTTTATAAGCAGTGCTGAAAGGGAACAGATGGCTGTTAAAGATCTGAGCAGCTCTACTTTGGTTCTAACCACAGCTCAGGAGCGACAAACTTATTTTCTGTACAGTAATGTGAGTGAAAATTCATCTGGAGGTGTCTGGTGCTACTGGTCTGCAGTGAGAGGGAGGTGCGGGACGCACGTATCAAGGTGTGGATGTGCTTCTCCGCCACATGCCAGGCAAACAGCTGGATCAGGTCGTCCTTCAGGTCCCTGTTCAGTTTTGTTTCAATATAGAACTTGTTCTAAGGGGAAAGAAATGAGATTATACTCATAACATATGAGATACCACTCAAGACTCTGGGGTGAATAAATAAGCAGAGGTGGAACGTGACTTAGAAGCAGATGTGAAAAAATACCCCCCAGTTCAGTAAAAAATGTCATCTGAATTTTTTACTAGCCAGTAGGCTGGGACTCAGGTATCTGTCCTCAGTCTCCATCCAAGTCCAGCTCTGCTTATAAGGTTTTATAAAAACAACACAGATTTCACATGTTGCAGAGAAACACATCTTACCATGTAAATGAAAATGGGCACGATGCTCTGCAGGGCCGCCATGTACCGCGTCAGAGCAGAATCGAACTTTTCAATGAAGTTCTCCAGAGGACAGCCCTGGAAGGCGATTATTAATGGGGTCAGGGCTTCGGAGCAGCATAGAAGTCTCCGGTAAACACCGTTATATTCTAGGGCAGCAGCATTGTGGCTTCTGTAAACTTTACTGTTGTCATGTAACAAAAAAAGACCGCCCACCCTATAGCTACCACAGTGTTCATCGGCACCACCAGATCCGCCAAAAAATGTTTCAACTAACCAATAAAAATGCAGCCTTTTCTCGCCCCTCAGAGATGCCTTTACCTGCAACTCGTCCGAAACCCTTTCTAAGTAGGTTGTAATCTTCCGTATTAAGTCATTGTACATGATCTCCGAGTGCTGCTGACACACGCATTTGTACACACAGCTGAAAATGCAAGAAGAATCCAAACTTAGAGACTTGAGTTTATCAATCCCCTGGGGGGAGGAACACTTTTGGTCCAGCAGCAGGTAAGTTATAAAGATCAAAACAATGACGGTAAGAAAAGAGGTATGAAAAGTATGAAATAATATTTAAGTGCTTAGAAAAGGTACTAAAGAATCAAATATTAACAGTTTATAGCACAATGACTAACAATACTGTGCAACGTTACTTTAAACACGTCAAGAGAAAAGTAAGCAGAGTGTTGGCCCACTTATCAAATACAAGATGCCAAAGAAGTTTTATTTCCTGCAAAAAAAGCCTCCTGCTCTGAGGAATGCCACCGTGTGTGACTGTACCTGTAAATTTGCTCATATGAAATAGGAATGTAGTCAACAGGGCTCTGGAGCAGCAACTGGTCAATGGCCTTTTCCAGTTTGGGCCAGTATGTGTTTCTGTAGTCTTCTGTCGTCATCACGTTCATCACTGGGTCAAAAAAACAAACAAACAAGTTAATCACACCATTTGCCGCGTTTTGTAATGTTCCAGCCACGTCTTACAGCATCTCACAGCCAGGAGAATCAGCCTAACTCCTGCAGAAACTCACAGAGGACCGAGATCCACCACGTCCAATAACCAAGAAAAGAAAGTCACAATGTCTGCTGATATCTGCTGAGTCCAGAATGGTGTTATCTGCTGAGTCCAGAATGGTGTTATCTGCTGAGTCCAGAATGGTGTCTGCAGGACTGCCAACTTTGGTGAGCTGGCTGGAGTGAGATAAGTCTGCACACACATGAACACGTACTTTCATGTATTACCCTATAGGGTCTGCAGGGCTTGCAAACTGCCCTAACGCTTTTGACGTAGCTAACTTTAGGTTTTTAGTGGAGTGATATAGATTTGCTATAAGGTTTCTTGCGTGACAGCTGGCAGCCTTGTGTCTGTCATGCATTTGCTCTCGCCAGTCCGTCCGTCCGTCTACCCATCCGTAACACCGCGTACTTCTTAAAGAGCAAATGCGATGCGAAGTGTGGTTCAGAGCACATGCACAGCAGGGCTTTAAGACTTACAAAACCTGGAAGTGGTGTTGTTCATGTTCAGAGGCAACTTCCCGGCCGTGGGGGGATCGCTGTCGGAGTCGGCGGGGTCTGGGATCGGGATCCCGGACAGGGAGCCGGCCTGTGGCTTCTCGGGCGGGGTCTGAGTACCGAGTACCGATGAACCTGACAGGAACTGGGTCTTTTCCGGATGATGGTTCTGTGGGAGCTCATACGTGCTCGGACTAGCCTCCCAAGTGTTATTATGGTTATGGTCATCGGCGATCTCAAAGCTCTCTGCTTCCATGCTCTCCTCCATGCCGCGGTCACTCAGGGAGGTGTCACGCCGAGATACCGTCCTTAGGAGCTTGGTGTTAACCGCCGTTTCCAACCTGAACAGCCCCCTCAAAATAACATTAAAGCGACACTTCCGCAGCCCTTTCAGCAGAACTTGCCGAACACCGTGTTGTTTCGCTCCGGGTCTGCGACACTTGGCGGCAGCCGTGTTTGCCGCCGATTGAAATGTAGTCCTTGTATCAAAAGCACCGCCGCCGCTCTGGATAGGATGACCATAACCCGTCAAATATACCCAGCTAAATAACTACAATAACCAGCCGGATTTTTCTTCTCTGTGGCCCAACCAGTAGAATTGCTCATATACGCGGTAGTGTCCAGAACTGCCTTCCAAAGCACTACAACTCCCATGGAGCCTGAAAAAGGCTCATCTGCGCATAATCAGGGGCGGAGACTGCGCAGGTCACGCGGTGAAGGGCTCGTGTGCGTCCGCATTGATTTAGACTGTAAACGGGTCTACGCAAAAACGGTAATATAGTTAAATATGCTGTAACTAAACGGTACATTTGTCAGAATTTAAGAAGCGTGCCCACATGCTTCATTTAGCCAAGAGGCTTTAATGATTAATGAAGTGGTTATCATTGTTGCCTCACACCTCTGGGACCAGGGTTCGAGTCTCTGCTCTGGCTCCATGTGACGTGTGTGGAACTTGCATGTTCTCCCTATTTCATCATGGGACTTCCTCCAGGTACTCAAGTTTCCCCCCACAGCCCTAAAACATGCTAAGGTGAATTGGAGTTAGCAAATTGCCCATAGGTGTGAATGGTGTGTGAGTGACTGGTGTGTGAGTGTGCCTTGCATTGAGTTGGTGCCCCATCCTGGGTTGTTCCCTGCCTTGCGCCCATAGGCTCCGGACTCCCCATGACCCTGAACAGGGCAAACAGTTACAGAAAATGGATGGATGGACTTCTGTACCTCTGTATCAGATTTGTATTGCAGTCTTTTTCTCCCCAAACTCTGATGCCATCTGGCAGAATTTTTAACTCAAGAAATATTAGAATTAAGGGATTAATTGTCATTGTTGACGCACCACAGCACAACAATGAAATGTGTTCTCTGCATTTAACCCATATGTGACATCCTGACATAGCAGGGGGCAGCTAATTCAGCGCCCGGGGACCAGTGCTTGGGGGCGGCACCTTGCTCAGGGTACCTCAGTGGTGCCTTTGGTGGTTGGGGATTCAAACCTGCAATCTTTCAATTATAAGTGCACTTCCCTAACCATTAAGACACCGCTGCCCAGTAGTGCAGTGTAAATGATTATTATGTAATAATACATGCACTGTAAACTTTTAAAATTGTGACATATTAGGGAATATCGACTATGAATCTGGAAATCCCTAATATCTGACTGTCCAGTACTCCTGGGTTTAACGTGAAAGTGAAACAAATAGGTACAAACTTTCATTGACCCTGTGACAGACAGGAGTCGCCCCAACCTAGTGTGTGACACAGATAAGCCATGATCATTGGGAGGCAGCTTTTGCCATTTCTCTGCTGACTGATGTTTCCTGGAGGATACCAGTAAGACCCATCAACACTAAAATGCGAACATCCTCCTGTTCTTTCTTCCTTCTTTCCATCCATCCATCTCTCCCTCCCTGAAAGGGTAATGTATTCTTCTCCACAGAAAGCTTTCATGTTGTGAAAGGGAAGATTACCTATGGAAATGTCTTCCCTTTATCACTATAAGCAGGTGCAGATTACTCATAACACGGCTCTTTAATTTCCTGAGTGCAGACAGCAGGAAATACCTCTGACTGAACAGCAGATAAATGACAGGAGAGCGATGAAAAGGCCTTTCTCGACCGGGCGCTTGCCAGTTGGCAGACAGGACGAAGGATGCCCGATCTTATTGCTTGTTATCTCTGGAAACATCTCCAGCCTGTCTCTGTCTGTCAGGCACTCTTCTTCTACTTTTATTATTTTTCCAGTCAACATTGTTTCAGATATGTTTTTGGTCTTGTTTTACAAACAATATATTAATTATTGCTTTATATGTGAAAACAGCAATAGTTAGAGAATGTTATATTCATAGTGCTTATGACAATGTGCAGAATGTGAAATGGCCTATTATGTTTGCAGCAGAGATGAGGCAGTTTAATAAACATGCATGCATGTTACTCTGCAGAGCAGAAGAAAAACATCACCGTCGCTCACACAAAGCTGGGCTCTCTCCGCTTTTCACAGCTCAAATTATCTTCCTTTTATAACTTCAGTTTCTTCCTGTGAAACGTCTTTGTCAATGACACAATCTTTCAGCAAGAAATAATAAATGATTTACATATGATTTATTTGCATTAAACAGAATGACCAGCAGTAACACTGTATTACAAATAAGCCACACTTGTGATTTACGCAAGACATCCATCTGAACTAAAAACAAATTAGGCTTTTTATGTTTGTAATGTAGTGTCTTTGCTACCTAAACACAGGGATGTAGTTTATGCATAATGACCACTTCAGATGTTTTGGTTGCAGCTACTCACCCATTGCTAAATTAAAGACACATTACACTGTTTAGCACATTCAGCTGAATTATGCATCGCATATACTACAGTTCTTGGGATAGGGTCCAGGCTCACGGAGACCGCATTTGATGCATTATGATGGACATCACATGGATTGAAGGACACTACATTTTGGAATCAATTTTGTTTTCAACAATCATAAAGACCTAACCAGTACAAGCATTAACAACTAACATGGCTTAATATTGGCACCGAGACTCCAAATGCACGCCTGAAGCACACGAACATTTCATGAATATACTTTGCAAAGAACAATTGCAAACAACACAAAATTTTGTGGATGAGATGTCAGGGTCAGCTTCAGTGACCTGGAGAAAATGTAAACCCTCATTTCATTGAAAAAAAAAAACTAGTTAACCCTAGGCAGATGCTGTGTTACGTATGTGGGGATTATGGGCATATTACAGAACGTAATGTGTCTTAGGAACAACGGTCCTGGCTCTTCACCATTCTGTGGAATTAATATATTATATTTGAAATTTGACTGTCAGAACTTCAATTCTTTTTTTACAGGGCAGCAGGGATAATGAGTAGTGATCACATCGTTTTACTGTAAACACTATTTATGAGCAACTCGAGATAAGAAAGCCGGGACACATCAACTTGCGCACGTAGCTGACGACACAGGAAAATGCACTATTTGCTCTCTTCTCAGATTTCATAATTCCGGAATTTTCTCAAGAGGTCAGATGGAGCGTCAGCGGTCCAACGGAAACGCCAGTGCCACAGATTTTCACCTGGATAGAGGGAAGGTTGGGAGACGGATATTAGAAATTACCTGGACATACAGTACGCAAATGGATGAACAACAGCTGCTCTGTTCAGCCACACAAACACGAGTAACCCGCGGCCTGGGCAATATGAAGAGACGCACCGGGGGCCAGTGATATTAGGAGAGCTCCTTAAGGAATGTGAAAATAAGGGCGCTGTGTGAACATTTTGAGGGGTGCTGTAGGGTGCGGTGGGATGGGACACTGTGCCTGTGATCAGCAGGTCATAAGCTGGAATCCCAGGGTGGAAGAGTGACGTCACTGAACCAAGCCCTTCACCCCCAGCTGCTCCAGGGTCTGTCTGACCCTGCTCCTTAAAACAAGGTATGCTGTTTTGGATAGAAGTGTCTGCTAAAGCCACCCATAGCAGTGCCCATGGAGCTGGGGGTTAAGGGCCTTGCTGAAGGACCCGCAGATGAACCGCTGACCTTCTGATCACAGGCACTGAGGTTTAGCCCCATCTTTGAATGTGTCGTTTAGTGATTCACATTTTGGGATCCTTAAAGGTTCTGCAATGCCTGTGAGCCTGCGGTTCTGCCCCAAATCCTTAAAGGTTCTGCAATGCCTGTGAGCCTGCGGTTCTGCCCCAAATCCTTAAAGGTTCTGCAATGCCTGTGAGCCTGCGGTTCTGCCCCAAATCCTTAAAGGTTCTGCAATGCCTGTGAGCCTGCAGTTCTGCCCCAAATCCTGATAGAGGCTCACCTGGAGAGGTTGGTGTGACGGGCGACTGCAGCTCTGCAGACGACTGTCGCTCCACCTCAGGGGGGACAGCCGCAGGCGTCTCCTGAGAAGCCTCCAGCATCGGCTCCTTCTTGGCTTTCACGGCCCAGTGCATCGACTACAAAGGACATGAGCTCCGTTTCAGGGGCTCAGGATTACCCCTAACCCTCTATTCCAAGGGGATGCCCCCTACAGATGCCCCCTACTTTCCAAACGACCAAATTCCACTTTATCTGTGTGCTATAAATAGGCAAGTAAAGCCATGCGAAATATAGCCAGCCAAGAAGGCACAGATGTTTATAACCAACAGACACAAATAAAAACTTTCATTTTGATCACAGCATTTAAGCATAAAGATCGTGCGTGCTGAGCGTGCGTCACGGCACCAGGACTGCAGTCAGAGGAGTTAAACAGGTAAAACTAGTAACCTACAAGAAATTTAGTCATAGAAACACTGTATGAATTCATGTTGCATGAAGCATAATCGTCATTGTTGCATAAATCTGCATAATCCTCATTGTTGGGAATTTAAGGGAAGCTTAAGTTTAAATCTCCATCTAAAACACACAAATGTATAAATCATCAGGCAGCGAAACGCACGGTTTTTACTGAGTCACTCAGGGAGCGCCAGTCCCGGAAGGGCACGGAGATCCGGCTGCGTCTCCACAGGTCGTACATCTTCCTTGTGTCTTCGTTGGTCAGAACTTCTTTGGCCTCCTGCAGCTTCTGAAAATCCTCCGCTAAAAACGCACAAGATGAGACCCCCCTGGCTGCTTATTAAAATACAAATTAGCTACCTGCAATGCTTATTGGAGGGGATCTCACTTACAGAAGGACATGATCTGTTAACATTAATTACACATATCACAGCACAATATAGTTGTTGTTCTCTTGTAATCCTTTACAGTAAACGATCCAAACGTATTTAAGACAGGGAGATACCTGCGTTGGGGTTTTCGGGGTCCTTGTCTGGATGTCGCTCTAGGGCTCTTGTTTTATATTCCGCAAGAATCTGTTCAGGCTAGCAAGGAAGGACACACTGTCCATGTTTGTGCTGAAAAGGCCTCATCTACTTAAGTAAAATAAACTTAAAAAGTACATATTATTGACATGTTTGATGGTAACAACAACAACAATAATAATAATTTTACTAGTACTACTATTATTATAGGATCTTCTGGTTTACAGGAGTTTGTAACATTATTGATAACACATGATTGTCTTCACAAGCACCAGAGACCGGTAGTTTTCTGCAAGAATGTAACACCAGCTTTCTTAAAATACTATAGGCCAGGTGTGCTGTCTGTAATACAGATACGGACTCTTTACGTTTAAATTTGACTAGTTTCTGCTTCCATCTAACATTTTACACAAGGCTGCATCCTCAGCATGACCCTCAGTTACAGCCAGGATACCTTCACTTAAGGACCAATGATCACCCCTCAACAATGAGCCGTTTGTGATATGAAGATGAATTTATGTCCAGATTTACCAAATGCAGAGACATTATAGCCATTTAAAGTCACATTCATAGGCATTAATGTTACTGCATATAACTGGACCCCGGTGTAATTGGGAATAATCTCAGCAGCACACGTTTAACTGCTATTCGTCGTCATTCACAATATTCAGTTCTAACTATGCTATGGTGATTTGTGAATTCATAAAATAATCTGATGTAAAGTACTTTACTCATAAATTGTGAGGTGTGCTTATTTCTTTAACAAAGACACCATGATAATTTGCCCTTTGGCAGTACCCATGCAAAACCCGTTTCCAAAGGGCCCTAAGCTGCATTTACAATAACGGGTGACTCATCAAACCAGTTTACTCACAACGACAGTCTATTTTCACCGTAGATATTAATTGGCTTCTTGTAAGTATGTAGCTGGGTAGTCAAATAATAGTCGACAACAAGTCGTGTACCTTCTAGATAAACCTAAAACAAGACTCTCAAGACTGGGCGTCTAATTATTAGTAATCAGAAAGCAAATCACATTATTAGCTAGTTGCTGAGCGGAATACAGCGCAAAAATGCTAAATAAGAAACACACCCTTCAGTGCACTGTACCCCTGGATTAGTTTTCACTTTTCACTAATTCCGCTGTCCCTGTGACACATCCACGAACGGTTAGCTAATTGCAAGTTAAAAACAGAGGCGTTTTAAGTTTTAAATTCAAGCCATATAGTCACCGTGCTTTCTTATCGTACCGAGGACAACTCGTCACATCCCAGAAGAGCATAATAGTCTTCTAGATCCTCCGGCTTCGCATTCAAAAGCGCATCCATCTCTGCCAGTAACAGGTCTGAAACCTGTGGATATCAGAGGACAGGACGCTCGGAGAGTGGCTGTTACTGCTGGTTTATTTACCCATATCCCACCTCTCTAGAGGCGGAGCTTCTCCGCTTACGATCCATGTAGTTGTGGTCTGTGTAAAAACCTGTTGTGTATGTCACTCATATATTTTCATTAATATTCACATTGCTCTTTTGGTACGTTATTTAATGCAAGTGCATTGTACTGCATGCTGGGCACCGATTCAATGTAGTGAAATTAGGTCAAGTTATCATTTTGCTTTTGAAACCATCTTCGCACTATTGTGTAAATTCATTCATTATTACGTGAAAATTGTACCTAGGGTACCTAGCCTATATGTATGTAAACGTACATTTAAAATTTAGACATGGCTCTTTCCATTGATGGTCAAGATCAAAATAATGCACTACGTACAGGAGCATATACTTTGGAATTAATTACGTTTACGTTAAAATTATATGAAATGTTCTATATTAAACATTTCTGGCATTCGTGGTAAGAGGGTATGTGGGTACTTCAGATTTTCCCTTCAGCAAATTTTCCCATCTCACGGCTGATGCTCACAGTTGCTACGGAGACATGCTGTGTCCGGAGCCCTTCTTCACAACTTTCGGCACGGCCTCCTAAGCGTGCAGCGTGGTGCTTCATGGGACATGCAGTGCGCACACAGTCATTATGTAAGCGCTTTTCAGGCTCATATTTATCACCGCATGACACGTTTTGTTGTGGTTGACATCATCACCCGGTCGCCATTGGCCAAGCCGGGGTCACGTGGTCTGTTTAAATGTCCCAGCTGGCTCGAGCCGCAGCGACGGCCCGTTTATCAGCTAAAGATGGCGGACGGTGAAAACGTCCCGCTCGGCGCCAGCGCCTCGGATCCCAATGAGCCCCTCACCAAGAAACCCAAGCTGGGAGCCGCTTTTGGGAACGGGGATAAAGGCGACCAGGCGGAGCCGGAATCACGTGTAAAAGAATGTGGGAAGCTCTGGGCGTCGGCGGCAATGGCTGCTAATGCGCGGCCGGAGGAGAGGAAGAAGGAGGCGGCGGCGGCGGGACAGGCCACGGCCGCGTCGGGCGGAGACAATGGACTGTCGGCTCTGGAGGAGACGCTGGAGAATGGCGAGGAGGCACCGCTCGATGGACACGCCAGAGATATGAGCGCAGGTAGCTGACCGCCTAGCCGAGGCGAGCCGGAGTGCGCGGTGCCGGGGGCGCCGAACCGAACCGAACCGAAGCCGTTGCCGTCGCACGGCCCCGGCCTCCGGCGGCTCTAGACGTCGCGCTGGTTCGCCGCACATGCGCCTGCAGAGCTGGGCTCCTGGTCCATTTTGGTTGCGAGCCAGACCAGCGGTGCACCGCCGGCCGGCATGGCACTGTCTATGTTCCGCCGTGGCTGATTCCGGTTGTTCGTGGTTAGATGAAACACCGCGGGTGACATGTGCATGTTCCTTTCTCACAGTGTGCGTCGGTCCCGGCGAGGATGAGCACCCCAATGGCTTCAGCTTCCACGACCCCGGCGAGGAAGATGACAGGTCCTCCCACGCAAGCTCCAGTGACTGGACCCCACAGCCGCACTTAGGTACGGGGCGCTGGTGCTTAGCACTGCCTTTTAAAGTGTGCTAAGATGCAGAAATAAAGTGCATGCTTCTCTCCTACAGCTGATTTATCTTGCAGTTAATTGGTGCACGTGTTATCTATACCGGTGTTTACTGTGCACCTAATACCCCGTTTGCCCCGTGTTTGTACGTGTGGCAGGTTCATTGCTTGTCTTGATCTTGACTGGGAACATGACAGCATGTGCGTGTGTGTGTGTGTATGTATGTATGTGTGTGTGTGTGTGTGTGTGTGTGTATGTATGTGATGGATCAGTACTCAGTCTGCAGAGCCAGTGTGCTACACCTCACTGCGGCGCACCAGGTCTGCAGGAGTCACAAGCAGTAGCGAATCTCTCAAGCTGACTCACAGCAGCCGTGCAGATGAGAGGGCATCGCGTCAAAATGCATTTACATGCCGTCTGGATTTATCTCGCTTCAGGAGATGCCTTTTGCTGCTTCTCTGTGACATTTCAGCTGCTCCCACAGTGATCTGGCCCTGGGACATTTGCCTTTTGCTGTTAATATTTTAATCTATTCCAAGCACGGATTTTGGTTACTGTCTCTTGAATCCACTTTAATCTTCAAAATAGCCCAATACTGTGAGCAGCTGCAAGATGCCCATAGTTTTGGAAGCGTTAACTCACTGCCCATTAACCTGTGGGACAGATATACCACTACTATCCTCAGGTTGATGGTGTGTTACATAATCTCTTTAGGGATATATAATGGCACTTTTAATGCAGTCAGCTGCTGTTTTACACTGGCCTGACAGTGTGGGCATGTTTCAAATGCTTGACAATACGACTGAGCTTCATTTACACTGAAATACAGACAGACAGCAAGGCTCAGATGTGTGGAAGCTGCATCCATTTCCTATTTCCAAAGTGATGTCACTTCCTATATTGTACTGCATCTGTTGGCATGCTTCTCTGTGAGGACACTGAGAAAAGATTAGGGAATGAGTTTTCCTTATTTGGTTCAGAATACTTCGGCATTGATAATCATTAGCAAACAACTTGTCATACTGTCAGTTTACTTATGACTGTAAGACTTAGTCTCCAACATTATTTTCCAGAACTTAAACAAAGACCTTGTTTAATTTCTGTGTAAATGTCAAAGTCACTCATTCTATGCTACATTTTACCCAACATGCTCTCATGTTTACATAAAGAACATGCAGTTTTGACACTACTGGGGAAAGTCTTGCAGAAATTATTAGTAGGTATACAACCAAAGAGCTTTGTGGATACACTACCTCTGCAGCATATTTTCTCAGAAATTTCTTGTAAAAAATGTACATTATTTTAACTGACCAGTGGCAGTGTTGGTTGGTTGGTTGGTTGGTTGGTTGGGGGGGGTACTGTGAGCTAATCAGAACTGAGAAGCTGTATTTTAATGACAGTACCATGTCCAGGCTACTCAGCTGTGGTGTGTAAATTAGGTTTAAATCAAATCTTTTTTTTTTTAAGGAGATCTTGAAATTCACAGAATGTATATATCTGTACTTCAAAATTATTTTCAGGCTCCTACAGTTTCATCCAGCAGCACATCATGAGGGAGACAGATCCTCGGACCATCCTCAGAGATCTTCTCCCAGAAACGGCACTCCCTCCGGACCTGGACGACATGACCCTGTGGCAGATCATCATCAACATCTCCGAACCCCCCAAGAGGAGGAAGCGGAAGGACATCAACACGCTGGAGGATGTTCTCAGGCTGCTGCACGAGTCCAAGAAGATCCTGGTGTTAACCGGCGCCGGGGTCAGCAACCTTCACCCCACTAAACCATAGCACTGTATCCAATCTCAAAATAACACTTAGTTAAAGTAACGTGGCTGATTCAAGTGTGAAATCGTGTTTAGTCACTAGTGCAAAAATGCACTAAGTGTGGTGTGGAGCTCGTGAGGGTGACGTGCTCTTTACCGTCAGGTCTCCGTGTCGTGCGGAATACCAGACTTCCGATCCAGAGATGGGATCTATGCCAGACTTGCCGTCGACTTCCCTGACCTTCCGGATCCTCAGGCCATGTTCGACATCGAGTACTTCAGAAGAGACCCCAGGCCATTCTTCAAGTTTGCCAAGGTTTGTCTGCCTCCACCTGTTGAAGTTGAAAGTTTATCCATTACTCTTGGAATAAAGTTGACATATTTTGTTTATATTTGGCTTGCTTGTACATTGCTTTGGACTGAAGCGTCTGCTGATTAAACAGAAATGTGATAATGTTCTGCTTTAATAAACTCACACAGCAACTCAGTAGTTCATAATATAGCTGTCATGGTGAAGTACTGAGTGTAATGGATTTGTTAAAGACTAGATGTGACCGATGGATAAACGAAATATGAAATGTGATCAGTCATGCGGCGGATAACAGAGCCACTGTCCTGCCCCTGCAGGAGATCTACCCTGGGCAGTTCCAGCCATCTCCGTGCCACAGGTTCATCGCTATGCTCGATAAGCAGGGCAAGCTACTGCGAAATTACACACAGAACATCGATACGCTGGAGCAGGTGGCTGGCGTGCAGCGCATCATCCAGTGCCATGGTTGGTAGAGCCCGCGCCCGCCCTCCGCTCGCTCGCGCCCGCCCCCGAGTCCACCCCATAACCCGGCTCCACATTCCCCCTCAGGTTCCTTTGCTACAGCTTCCTGTCTCATCTGCAAACACAGGGTGGACTGCGAGGCCATCAGAGAAGACATCTTCAATCAGGTAGAAGCCAGGGCTGCCCACAGCTAGGGCAGCGTAGCGGGTCTCGAACCAACAGCCGGCTGGCTCATGAGGCAGCAAGACCCAACCTTACGTAAATATACTGACGTATCTAGATGATGCAATTAGACACAAACTGTGCATCACATGTCACTTTAGTGCCAGGAAGATTTAAGCTCTACCTTGCTCCCACAAAAGTGTATTCAGCAGTAAATATGAGAGGGATGTTAGTCGATTCGTGCCGCTTCTGTAGGTGGTACCACACTGCCCGAAATGCCCTGGCTTCCCGTTGGCCATCATGAAGCCCGACATCGTATTCTTTGGGGAGAATCTTCCGGAACACTTTCACAGGGCGATGAAGCAGGATAAAGATGAGGTGGACCTACTCATCGTCATCGGCTCATCTCTCAAAGTGCGGCCAGTGGCACTCATCCCCAGTAAGCACCGTCCGTAACGGAATGCCTGACGCTGATCTAGAGCAGCCTTTAATGAGCTCCTTCCTCCATTTTCAGGTTCCATTCCACACGAAGTGCCTCAGATCCTGATCAACCGCGAGCAGCTGCCGCACCTCGACTTCGACGTGGAACTGCTGGGAGACTGTGATGTCATCATCAATGAGCTGTGCCACCGGCTGGGCGGGGACTATAAGCAGCTGTGCTATAACCCGCAGAGACTGAGCGAGATCACGGAGAAGCCGCCGCGGCCCCCCGACAGCCCAGCGCGTGAGCCTGAGGAGGAGGCCGGACCCCTGCAGGCATCCGACGGAGTTGCTCCGGAAAGTCACATGGATGTAGCGGCAGGCGTCCGGACGCCGGCGGACGGCAGCCCCGTGGCGAGGATACTGCCCCCTGCTGATGAGGACAGTGAGCGGCCAGAGCACTCTCCAAATCCCGGGGAGAAGAGCAGATATCCCGGTGCCGAGCTTCGGAGGAGACGCTGGGCAGCCAGATCGAGTGGGAGCTCCATTAGCAAGCGGCTAGATGGTGAGTGCTACCCGTCGGTGAAGTGAGCTGGACCCTGAGGACGGCAGTCTATGCCACACCGGGCCTGTAGATGCTGGTCAGCACTTAGCCTCCTCCTCTCTTACAGCCTGCCAGTACCTATTCCAAGCCCCCAATCACTACATCTTCCACGGCGCTGAGGTGTACTCGAACTCTGAGGACGAGACGTCCAGCTCGTGCGGCAGCGTGAGTGACGGCTCATGCTGCAGCGCGGACGGGCCGGCCAGCGATGGGGAGGGCTCCTGCTCTCCAGCAATGCCCGTGGGGGCCGAGAGCGCCGAGGACTGCCTCAGAGACACTGTGCCACACAAGCGGGAGGCTGTGGAGGACGGGCGGGAGGCCCCTGCGGACAGTTCTGCAGAGGCTGTCCACAGCACCTCGCACTTCTGAAGCCCATTAAACCTTTTTTTTTTTTTTTTTTTTTAAAAAAGAAAACTGCAATGTTTTGAGGCGCTAAGCAGTCTTTGCTATATTCAAAGCAAGTTCCCCACGTTCTTTTTGCATCCCATACATCTGGACGCCGTGCTGAACCTCTCCCCCTCCCCCCCCCACGGTACGCCCGAGTCTTTCATCATCCCTGGTGGTCTCACACTGCTGGATGTGAAAACGATTGTTCTGAACACGCTGGACCGATTTTAATATTTAGTGGCTAAAACAAAGCGGGGCAAATGGATCAGATGTAGGCTATGAAAAGGGATCAGCGAAGGTCGACCAAAGAAGAGTCCGTCTCCGTAGCGTTAGCGTTAGCCGCCACGAGCTTCACATGCTTCTGCTCTGACCTTTTTACTACATGCCTGTAAGATACATTAAACTGAACACTGGCATTTTGTCCTGAATTTTGGCAGCTACTTTTTACAGCAGAGCTGGTTGTTATTTTTGTATTTTGTGATACTTTAAACCTGCTCGGCCTGAGGAGGTGGCCGCTTTTCTAAACAGTATTTTAGAGGATATTATGATTTTACTCTTAGTGTGAACACATTGTAGGCCTTACATGTCCAGTAAGCTGTCAGTGGGTTATACAGCACTGTTTTTTGTTCTTGTGTAATATTCCTGTGGAAATGGTAGTGGTTACCATTGGTTTCACTGGACACCATTCAACACTGCATCCTTAGAACAGACAGGTACCATGCTGCCCGCTGCGGGTGTAGGGAGGAAGTGCCACCCGCCCCTGAGACTGGCCGAGGGGGGAGGGGGGAGCAGCTGAAGCTCATGGGAGATTTACTTACACAAAAATGTTTTGAAGGCAAAACAAGATTATAGAGGAGGTGGGTCCAACCAACTAGAGGAGGCAGGAACGATCAATCAGATGTCTTGGTCCCACGTCTGTTACAATCTGACTGGTTCTCCCTCTGCACCATTCTTTTTCCGTTCGGCCCTCGCAACATTTTTGTCCAAGAAAAACTCCCATGAGTGTCGCTGAACCGTCTGTAAACAAAGCTTTGAGTGAAATCCGTGTTTTCCGCCATTGCTACAGCTGTTTGTACTGTCAGTATCCACAGCGTCGATGAGATTATTTAATGTTGAATTTGTGAAATATTCAACTACATTAGTTACCACAGTGATGGTACTCAATATATATATATATATATATCGCAAAGGCACTTCCAGAACTGTAGAGTAGAAAATGAGTTGTATTTTATTTTAAAATTTCACAGATTCAGATGACCGACCAAACTGTACTTGACGAAGACTAAAGTCACAGCCTGACTGTAGCTATAAACCTATATTACAGTGCTTTCGTGTTGCCAGAAAATTGATAATTAGCATACAGCTCGTCAGCTCACATCCCATTTAGTCAGATTAAAGTAACCCTCTAGGAGCCTGTTAGAATGCTGTTATGTATGTTTGGGCCACAACTGTTAGAAAATAACTTTGTGGAGGAGCAAATGTCCAAAATACACTTTTCATAGATAAAAGGAAGCATGAGAGTTGAAATTCTCCATCCCTGAATGACTTATTCATCCTCGTTCTCGTTTTATTGCCTGACACATGGCAGATATGACTACAGTCATATTTAAACCTGTCTGGGGTTTTAAAAGACCCCAAAAGCAGGGCCTTATTCTGAACTCCTGTAGTGTTTTGGACACCCTGAAAGCGAGTCCCCGGTGATCCCGCATCGAATGGACAGTCGGGCGCGAGTCCCCGGTGATCCCGCATCGAATGGACAGTAGGCCGCGAGTCCCCGGTGACCCCGCGCCGCATGGACAGTGGCCCGCGAGTCCCCGGTGATCCCGCGCCGCATGGACAGTGGCCCGCGAGTCCCCGGTGATCCCGCGCCGCATGGACAGTAGGCCGCGAGTCCCCGGTGATCCCGCGCCGCATGGACAGTAGGCCGCGAGTCCCCGGTGATCCCACGCCGCATGGACAGTAGGCCGAGAGTCCCCGGTGATCCCGCGCCGCATGGACAGTCGGTCGCGAGTCCCCGGTGATCCCGCGCCGCATGGACAGTGGCCCGCGAGTCCCCGGTGATCCCGCGCCGCATGGACAGTAGGCCGCGAGTCCCCGGTGACCCCGCGCCGCATGGACAGTGGCCCGCGAGTCCCCGGTGATCCCGCGCCGCATGGACAGTGGCCCGCGAGTCCCCGGTNGCGAGTCCCCGGTGATCCCGCATCGAATGGACAGTCGGGCGCGAGTCCCCGGTGATCCCGCATCGAATGGACAGTAGGCCGCGAGTCCCCGGTGACCCCGCGCCGCATGGACAGTAGGCCGCGAGTCCCCGGTGACCCCGCGCCGCATGGACAGTAGGCCGCGAGTCCCCGGTGACCCCGCGCCGCATGG